TCATCCGTGAAGAAAGTGGCAGAATGGTCTGGGGAATAGCACAGGATGGGGGTAGGGCTGAGAGCACACGGCTTTTCTTTTCCAGTCAGAGGCTCGGGATGCCTCCCACTTAGCTCCTTGAATACAATTTCCCTCACAGGGCAGAGGAGCTTAGTGTATGTTGGGATGGTGGGGGTGGGAGACAGAGGGACTGCATTGGGTTCTGCATTCCTGAGATTCCCAACCCCGGGTAGAAGAAACTCCACACTGACAAGAATGAGTGAGGCAGTGGTGAAAAGACATAATGGACTGCTAGAAATGTCTGTGTGTGTGCGTGTGTGTGCGCGTGTCTCCGTGTGTGTGTGTGTGTGTGTGTGTGTGTGTGCGTGCGCACCCCTAATTTGCCTGCTTCCTGAGGCCATGTGGATGGGCTGGGACCACCTGGCATCTCTACATTTCATCTCCCTCTGTCTTTAGGCTTATCGTTTTCTGGGTTAGATGAGTCTCTAAAGGGAAAGGATTGGACAGGTAGTGGAGAGAGAAATGACCCTTGGGGGAAGGGTGGAAAAGAACCTTGTTACCACTTGCATGAATATGTTTGAAGGAGCCAAGGAGGCTGGGCAGTGGTGGTGCATGCCTTTAATCCCAGTGCTTGGGAAGCAGAGGTAGGCAGATCTCCGGGATTCTACAGAGTGAGTACAGAGTGAGATTCAGGACAGCTAGGGCTACACAGGGAGATCCTATCTCGAACCCCCCCCCCAAAAAAAAACAAAAACAAACAAACAAACAAACAAAAAAACAAGCCAAGGAATCAATGAACCCAAAGGCAGAGAGACTGCCTCTCCCTAACTTCCCAAGAGAAGAGCCAGTAAAGACCCAATCCTGTTAGAGGAAGCAGTAGGCAGAGGCCAGCTGGGACAGGAGCAGGGAGGCAGCTAGAATGAGTGAGCCAAATGCAGAGTCTGCCAGGCCATTGCAGAAACAGAGGTCTGGTCTGCAATGGGCTGACGGTAAATGCACACAAGCAGGTGAGGAACGAACACGTCCCTGAGGTCTGAGAAGTGTCAGTGCATAAAGAACAAGCCCTGGTCCCCTTTCCTTTGGGGCTTTATGCAGACCCATAACCAGAGAACTATTCAGGAGAGCTGGCAAGAAAGAGTCTGTGGACATTGTGAAGGTCCCACTTTGAGAACAGTCTTTTTGTTTGGTGTCAGGCAATTGCCAGCTACCTAACCAGTCAGGAAGGACATGGTTTAAAGATTTCATTTCTCACTGCAGCCATTGTGAGATGTTTGAAAAGTCTTAATCATGCCCAAAACCTCCAAGAGCTCCAAAATCTGTCCAGGAACAACCTGAGCTCTCCTAATCAACGGACAGATGTATTTCTCCACGAGGCTGTGAACAGCCATACTTTTGTAGTTTCACTCTTGTGAGCATGAGCAGTAGGGGAAGCACTGAGAGGTAAGTAACATGGTGAGAAAGGCATGCAGGAAAGCAAGGAGACAAATGGTGGTCTGGAGTCCTGAGAGAGCTCTCTGGCAGCCTCTACAGACAGGCTTAGTTTTTAAAAGCACCAGAAAGCCACATTTGCATGCTATTTGTGTTACAGGCTTCACTTCCAGGTATGCGGAATGAGTGAATGAATGAAAAGTATTCAGTCCCCTGGTTAAGGGGTGGATTCAGAAATCCAGACCACAGTGAGGATCCAATCACTGGTCCAGTTTTGATCAGCAGACAGGGGGATATCTATCTATATAATGTATATGTACACACTTGTGTGTACCCACGCCCACACAAACTCTCTCATATTTGAGAGGAGACAGAAACAGTCTCTGAGACAAATATATTAGTGAGTCCAGAGTCCCCAGTCAAAGCACAGAAGCAAAATCCACAGAATTTATTTTAAATAAATCAATTAAAACAATCAGACAAACAAACAAACAAAAAAAACAAAACAAAACCCCAAACTAGGGAGTGACATATACAGAAAAGGGCAATACCCCTGACACACCCCTACCCCTGCCCTTGCCTTCACGTTAGCTTCTTTGTCAACTACATGCTAATGACAAGGCATATTTGTGTTTGCTTAGCCTCCCCCATCAAGCAAACTACAAATGTATAGACTGTAAGGCCCTGAGGACAAGTGGCTTTTATTTCCTTGGTCAAACCATCTTTCCTCCCCATTTCAGGGCTCTTAAGTCCAGTGCTTGGCCTCACATTTAGGAAACAACCCAACAAGGATTCCCGTGTTTCAGGTACAGAAGTGCCTTTAAGCGGCAAGACAGAGAGAGCTACACATCATCTGGGTGTGCAAGGGGTACCACCATCAATAAAAAGGATGGAGGAGAAACCTACTTAAAGGGTTAAAAAAAGATGTTGTGATAAGCCTCTTGGGGTAGAGCCTGAAAACCCCAAACAGCAGCACACTGAACTGATGAGGAGGAAGGTGCTTCTGCTGGAGGCCAAGGGGAGCACTGTTTGAGATCTAAAGAACCCTCTGGGACTCCAGCATTTGGAAGTGACGAGGAATAATGAATCCTTCCTCACAGTCTTATAACACTATTATTCTAAATGGTTCAGAGAGTGAGCCCTGCTGAATCCTTGGCAGACCAGAACACAGAGGCTTGTACTCTTGATTAGAAAAACAGCACCAACCCATTCTCCTGGCCTTGACAGTTCTTATGCTTTGGTCCACACCCGAAGGCAAACAGGGCCACACAAGTCCAGACAAGAGATTTTTAAGATAACGTGACCACTGAGGGCTTTAAGATCAGATTTGGGTGTGTACACTTAGTAGGTGCTTAAGAAAGGACTAAACTGAATGAGGGTGTCTGAGCAGAAGGGAGTCTGGGCTCCTGGGTGCCTCTCTCCCACTCACCTTTCCCAGCTGTTGGATTCTATCAAGGACAAGACAATCTCTAGAAGTCAAAAATAACTTACAGCTACTCCTCAGCTTAGAAGGAAGAAAAGCCTGCATCTAGGTCTGTTATATTTAGCAAGGTTCTGATGTAGACTTTAATTCTACAACCAAGCCAGTGTTCACACCAATCTTCAACTTGAAAGTATCTTATTATTCCATCTAGCATCAGCCAAGCAGGCAGAGCAAGGAAAAACAAAACAACCAAGTGCTAGTCACTCTGACATTTTTCAGAGCTTGGAGGATGGCAGAGAAAGATCAGAGGTTAAGAATTTTGAAAACAATGGAGCTCTTGAATGAACCCTCTCCTTCTAGACCCATTAGTGATTGTGCTGATGGCTGTGTAAAACCAGGTGGTGATGACAGGCAGACTGTGGGATGGAGTGGGTAGAAATGTTTTTCCAGGTTATCTGTTCTACCCTTAAACCACTAAAACACTAAAACTACCTACCAGTGCTGAGGACAGTGAGCAAAAGAGGCTAGTATGATTACACTGGCTAGAAAACAAAACTTGATAACACAAGGAAGTACACCTCCTATTTAGAAGAGTGAACTGACGGTAAGTCTCTAGGCTGAATGATGGAGAAACACAGAGAACACTACACAGAACTCCTGGCAGTCACAGTGGGTCTCAAGTGATCAACCAGATGTAACTATCTTCCATACACCATACCCATATATTCTCAAAAGGATGGAAACACATCTTATTTTCTGCTTACACAGTCCAGGGATGACAGCTAGGACTGTGGTTTTTTGTTGAAGAGTCTGTAACTGCTACACAATGCTTATCATCTTTCAAATATTCCTTTTGTAGAGGAGGGGGGATGTTATGAGCACTGAACCCAGGGAAAGGAGATCAACAGAAGTAAAACAACAGGCACATTTAGTTTAAAGCAGGTTAAACAGATACTGGTAGCATACCCTTGGCCACAGAATACAGAAATATCTTCAGTCTTTGTCATCAAAGTTCACTCTTGAATTAAGGAAGTTTCCAAGTACTTGCTCTCTTCTTGCTGGCTGGCTCTCTAGAATGGCTTAGGATACAAGTCTGTTCATGATTCCCATTAAGCCACCCTGTCAAATCTGTTCACTCCTATTAATCCTGGGATGGACAGTGGCCTTGGGATCACTAGCTTTTACCTGGTGCATATTTAAATTGCATTGGAGAAAGGGAGCTGACTTCAGACAGGCTCAAGAATTCCTTATATATTTTGCAAAGTGCTTTTGTTGCATGTCTCATATTTTGAAATACATTGCAATAAATATTTGTTACTTTGGTCCATACAAAAAGTCTCTGAGGAAGATAAAACAGATATCGTTTAAAGGAACAAACAATAAACACACAAAACTATCTTTGATGAGCCCCAGATAATAGTGGGAAAAGTCTGAAAGCTTGTCTTTATATTAATAGTCCAAAGTGCCACCAAGTAAGCTGTCACTTACATACAGTAAGTACCAAGAATCACACAGTGAGTCTGCATGCCACAGTTTTCTAAAGGAGAGTGTGAAAGGTCCCAGCAACTCATATACAGAAAGCTATTTATTTCCTATAGAAAATCAAAAGAAAAGGGAGGGAAGATGGAGAAGAAGAGTAGCAAGAAGAAGGAAACATAAATGTACAAAGGGGTCTCTTCCTTCAACATGCAGGGAACAAAGGAAGAGGAGGGACACTGGTTGTTGGAGTGGAGATGGTAACATTCAGTTTAACAATGGAATATTAAAAAAAATAGTTGTTTTCAAATTGTAGCCTGTGGTAAAACATAGAAAAATGTACTAAACAAGCTTGGTATAAAACAGAGTAAAATTTTCCAATAGCCCGAGGAGAAAGCACAATGCTGGAAAGGATGGGCATGAGGGGAGAGGAGAAGAAATTTTATATAAAACTACCTATTACAATACAGAAAAAGTATAAAATGTTCCCTTCTGGAACCTAAGTACAAAATGACACTGGCATTGGATCATCTCACCATCTAAACCTTAGGAGCTCTCAGAGGGTGGGAGAGATGCTACAAAGAACAAAAGGAATAGCAGTTTGAAAATCTCAGGCTTATCAATCTAAACTCTACCCCTCCCACCCACCCCCTTTTTTAAGCTGAAAATGCTGTTTACCTTGATAACCCTTACTCCTAAGCCAAAATTTATCCAGGCCTCAAAATATTCTTAGGAAGTCTACAAACACTTGATATGTAGCAGTTGTTGGGATCACTGTGTACTGTAATTTGAAAAATGAAAATAAACCTACAGACTAAATGGTGAACACATTCAGTCTTTTCTTTTCTTTTAAAAGCATATCCCTGTGAAATATATATTTCACACGTGTGTGTATAAATGAATGTATACACACATATAGATAGGTATTTATGTATATAAAATTCTCTGTGGTTAGAAACATATTTAAACTAACTAGCCACAGACCACCTAGACCTGTATTCATCCACCTCTGGTACCTGATGCTGAAGACCAAGGCTCTGTTGCTGCACTCAGCACATCTGGGTGGGTCCTCCCCACAGCACATGCGCTAGCACAAGCAAACCCCTGCTTGTAAGGGAAGGCCTGCTTTCGACTTTAGGGTCTGCCAGGGTATGTGCACTGTGCTCACAATGGGATGACACTGCCAGTGATAAAACAGCTTTGAGGAGAAGCAGTTGGGTTTCACATCAGGGCATATAAATAGGAAGGGTACTGGAGGCGGGGAGTTAAGCTCGTGCCTCAAAGTCCAGTCTACAGTCCCATTCCTAACTCTGCATCTTGGGAATCATATGTGTGTCTACATGCTGGTGTTTTTAGTCTATCTGCTGTCCATGCCCTTTCCTACTTCTTGGTAAGGCCTAGCAACAAGAGTTTATAAGAAGCCAAGATTCTTTCCAAGTTTTCCTTGGGCTCTTAATTAGGGACTCAGTGAGGCTGGAGCCCTTTGGAAACAAGACGGCAGAGCTGAGGTGAAACGCAGTCTCTCTCCAGCCTAGGGATGTCCCTCACCCCTTTCACAGCACCAAAGTTTCTTTGCAAAAATAGTATCTGAGATACAAAAGGAAAGGCAGATGTGCTTGTGAGTGCGTCTCGCCTGGGCTGCTCCAGGATCAAGGGTGGCACACCAACAGGGTAAGGGGCAGCTGTCCCAAGGTCTCTGGCTGTAGATGGCAAAGGGCTGGTCCCCCACACTGTCATGTCTGCTCTCTGAGACAGTCTTCACAAGAGCTTCCGGTGGAGGATCTCCCAGACCATTCGCTTCCGGAAATATGGCATGTGTTGCTGCAGGGACACAGACACACTCTTAATCTTCACTTTTGTAGGGACTGTACTCCTTTCTGCATACCCCCTTTCTCATAAGGTTTTCAACCAACAGACTCAGTGACATTACTGCTCATTCGTGGTTATGTGTAGCCTTTTCTTCTCATTGTTCCTTTCTACCACCATTTTCACTCTGCAGCCTTAAGGAGTTACAGTGGGCATCATCTGGAGTCTTCAGGCTATGCCCAAATGACTCCAAGAACTCTGAGAACGGCACCTATCAAGTCTTTTATGGTGATGTCTTAAGAGAGCATGAGACTAAGGCCTGAAAATGAGAAGGGCTATCTTAGAGTAGAACTAAGAGCACTCCAACCATTACCTCAGTTTGGTCTAGATCTCATTGTCTCAGTTTTTACTTTTGTTTTGTTTGAGACAGGCTCTCACTATGTATCCCTGGCTGACCTGGAACTCTATATTGACCAGGGTGTCATCTGAGAGATTAGGCTCCTTCTGCCTCCAAATGCTGGAATTAAAGGCATGTGCTAACATGCCCAGTTTTCCCAAGTTTTTTTTTTTTTTTTAAAACTCTGGTCTGTGACCTATATAAGCACTTGAATATGTATCTGAATATGGGCATTGTGAAAAATCTGAGAGCAGTAAAGGGTTTCAGTACACACCATGTGCAAAAATGAATTCAGGCTCAAATGTACAGTGAGTCCTAGGTGCTTTTGGCAGAGCTCCCTGTGTTGCATGACATCATTACTGCTCTGACTCTGATTATATAACACACGAGACTCATCCTGGGGACTCACATGGTAAAGACACAACTCCCATCAGCTTGTCTTCAGACATCCACATGTGTGTTGCTCCCTTCCCCCCCAAAATTAAAAAAAGGAACATTTTTTTTAAATTGTTGTTTGACTTTGAACTTCAGCCATTTGGTATTATTTCTGTGCAGCAGCATTCTCAGCATTGCTGCTAATAAAGCCAAGCTATAAAATCAGCTCTAAAAAAATGAAGATGTGCAAAGATTCGGCCAACTTCAATTCTTTATGTAAAAACAAGGACTTCCATTTCATTTATGTGCAAAGTCACTTTAGTTTTTAATCAACTGTAAAAGTATATGTGTATTAGAGAACTGTTTTAAAACAAACTCTTTGATTTATTATCAGTATATGTTTCATTTATCTATTTAATATATCTATATATCTAGGGTTGTGCAAAAACTTGGGTGAAAACAAATTGTAAGCTCATACTTCTTTTTAAAGATTTATATATTTTTGTCTGTATGAATGTTCTCCTTCGTGTTTCTTGTAAGATTATTGGTAGGTGGAGGAGATGGACAGAGAATAGAGAATAAAGCTTTTTTTTTTTTTTAAACTAAAACTCACTCACTATTATATGTGACATGTGGTAACCCAAGATGTGAACTGTCACTGTCTTCTCTGGTGCAGGGTTACAGACAGTGATCAGTGTTATAAGATACAATCTGAAGCATGCAGAGGTATGGCAGAGGCTACAAAACAGCTATGTATAGCTTGGGTATCAGGAGCCTAGGCTCCATCCTGAAGGCCCACCTCACCTGTGTGAAGTTGATTGGTCTGTCTTTGGTAATACAGTCAGCATATTTGCAAGCAAACATCCCACAGTCACTTCCATTCATCTGCTGTGGAATTTCCTAAAAGAACAAAAACATACTATTTTTTGCAAGCTTCTTTATAAATTTTACACCATTTCCCTGAATTTTGAACATATGACCTTGGGTCTCCTCTTTAAGACAATAAAGAAAAGTTTAAGAGTGAGATTTTTTTTTTTCTTAAAAAAAAAAAAAAATGTAGTATTTTAGTCTCACCTTTCTGTTTTACTTCCTAGCAATCACATGAGGGAACTATCTCAGATTTTCATGGTACCTAAGGGTATAATAACTGGTCCTTCCACTAAGCATCAAATAGTCAAGTATTTCTCACGGGAGTAAGAAACTCAGCAAAACAGCCTTTAGGAAACAGTTTACATGAAGCTAGACAGTCCCTGGGAATCAAACAGCAGATAAAACCTCCTCCCCACATGCCCTATTTTTAAATGATTTATACGAGATCAACAAGAAATGTACCTGGCTTTTCTTGCTGAAGAGCTGCCAGCCATTGGTGTCAAACTCTTTCCTTTTCTTGTCAATACTTTCTTGCTTTAGGTATTGCCTAAGGCATCAGAAGAGAATGAGATGAGCTGTGTGGAGCTCTGATGGCAGCTGCCATCCACAGAATGGGGCTGGCAATCCTTGGTAGCCAACCTTGAAACTCCCACCAGCAGCCCACTCTGCAAACCCATGAAGCCCAGGAACTCTGCTTCTGATTTCAAGATAGTAACAGTCTTCTTCCAAAGTTCTTCATTCTACTCATCTTTCTAAGGAACAACTTTCAAATACTTCTCTTGGTTTGTATGGTCCTTTTAGAGTCTTCAATCTAATGGATAATTTATTATTAAATTATATAAATTATTAAAAATGTCTCTGGCAGTATCAGAGTACGTATCAGGTGTGTATGTATTGTAGTGTGATTATGTACAGTATGTGTATATGTATGGTGTGCACGTGGAGGCCGGAGTGATCAGGAGTCATCCTTGATCATTCCCCAACCTTATTCATTGAGACAGGGTCTCTCAATCAAATCCAAAGCTCACTGATACTACCAGTCTTGCTGGGAGTTCTGTTTTTCAAGGTCAGAGTTCAGATGAAGCCATGCCCACACATCATTGATGTGATTCCTGGAGATCCAAAGTATGGTCTTCATGTTTGTGTAGCAAGCCCTTTAAACTCTGAGCCTCTCCCTAGCCCAAGAGCATTCCTTTGAGGTATTAAATGCTCACTTTTCAGGAACTTACTGCCCCCTGGCCATATGCCAGGTGCATAGCAAAGAATAGGTATTTTAGAAAGAGAAACAAGTAGGGTACAAGAGACTTTTATTCTAATTTCCAAGTGAACCACTCACTCTAAGTATTAAGGCCCAAGCAAACCAAAGTCACCTCTGTGGGACTTGATTTTTTTCATGTAAAATTTCAGAAAGCTGAATTAAACGAGTTCTGTTGACGTAATCTCTACATATATAGTTACTTTATGTACTTAGTGTGTCCAGACAGCAATTGCCCTCACTAATACATAATGTAGTATTATAATGCTAAACTTTACTTGAATTTTAAAATATGCAGTTATAATGTTATAACTAGACATAATGGTGTCATCATTAGTCAATTTTCTGAAGGGATCAGACAGCTGAGTTTAACTGCTGGAAAGACAGAGGAAGCAACAACCTGTTGTCTGCCCTCAACTCGCACTTACAAGAGGATCCTGCAGGCTTCATTGTTTATTCCACCCATAGAATCATAGTAGGTGACATTCTTCTTTCTAAAGTCTATGACCTGGGGACAAAACAGAACAGTGAGGACACTGCTGTGAGAAGCTGGAGGATGTTTGTATTATAATGTCTTAGTAACAAGTTGATTATTTATATAGAGTGATGCTGAGGGCTCACCAATTGGTGGGCCTAGTAATTGGTCTGAAATATATTCTACAGCTCAGTTTTCCATGACCAACAACACATGATCAAAGAAGACTAGTTAACTATCTCAAGATCATTCCCACAGTTTAAGAAGATGACAAGATTCTGGGTTTGTCCTTAATCTTGGTATTTCCTTTCTTCACCTTCTCCCCCTTCGTTCTTCTCTTTCTACCTCCCCTCTTCCCATCCCACCCCCCAGACAGCTCTAGCTGTCCTGGACTCGCTCAGTAGACCAGGCTGGCCTGTCTCTGCCTCCTGAGTGCTGGGATTAAAGATGTGTGCCACCACCAATAGCCTATTATTTCTTTTTTTGATTGATATTTTTAAAATGCAATTCCAAACAGAATGTGCAATAACTTTTATTAACATTAACATATTCATGCTCCCAGAGTCTCTCTCTCTCTTACACACACACACACACACACACACACACACAACAACAACAACAAAAAACCACACAAAGAAGGTTGAGGCTAGGCAGGAAGCAGTGGCCAGAGTTGGAGCTGGCAGCATTACAAACATGCTTTCCCCTTGTCTTATGCTGAGGCCAGTAGCTGGCCTACAGCTGCCAAGTCTAAGCATCTCCTACTCTGATAGGAAGGAAATTCACTCATTTACCTGACTCTTAGCCAAGTTATCCCTACCTATTAAATCCTACTTTCTCCTATAATCAAGCAAAGATGTAGAAGTCATAACTCTCTATGTTGTCTTTGTGGGTTTATTTTTCATGTCATCAAAAATAAAGGAGTTACTCACAGCAAGACACCAGTGCACACCCAAGTGAATGGGCACCAGAAGAATGTCAACAGAAAACACATCCACTTTCTTTGTCCAACGTTTCACTGCCTGATAACCAGCTGTTTTTAACTTAGTGAAGAAAAAGGTATTAAATGCATGTACACTCGGAAATCCCTTCTCTTTACTGCGTTCCATTAGCATATTCATGTAGAAATTGATGATCTGCAGGAAAACATTATACATAAGAATAGTCAAAACAGTGGCATGACAGGGAAAGAGTAGCTGTTACACTGAATAACAATATGCCATTAACGTATGCTTGTGTATTATGTTTTGAAACCCAAACAAATCAAAAATGCTTCAGACAGATTTAAAATATACAGTTTTTACTTAAAATGAGATTTTATCAACCATACTTCTGAAAGTATCAAATAACTAGGCAGACGTGTAGAAAACTGAGAGTAAGGAGGAAGGTAAAGCTGCAGAGAAAAGGAAAGATGAAGTGCGCTGATAGGCACTGTACTACTTTTGTGCTGAGCAGGTGGACCCTGAGCTCAGTTCTTTCCCCTGGCTCTCTCCCTCCCCTCCACTTTCCCTTTCTTTCTCACTCCCTCTGTTGAGACAGGGTCTCATTCTGTAGCAGCAGACTGGCCTGAACTCTTTATACAGCCCAAGCTAGCCTTGAACTTGTGGAACATCTCCTGTTTGAGACTTGAGTGTCGGTTTTAAAGACTTCGAAGGTGACATGATCTTGTATGAAGAGAAAATCTGGTTCCACATCCAAAGCTGTATCATTCATACTGCAGTGGTTCACTGCTTAGGTTCCAAGCAGATTTAAGCAATCAGAAAGCCAGGAAACAAACTAGGAAAACACCTGCAATAGCACAGCAACTTCACTTATGTAAAGTCCTAACCACCAAGTCTCAATCATGAAGAATCTAGATGCTTAGCTTTCTCATTTCTTGACTGCATTACTCCTTCAATAGCAAGCCTGAGTAGGGCAAAGTAAAATGCTTGATAGAAGAGACACATGATTCTTTCTGTCAAAGCAATGTCTTTTCTAACAGTAACTATGCTGTCTGTGGTTCCTTTAGGTCCAGAACTCCCTGGTACTAAATCTTAAAAGTTACTGGGCCAAAAATTACAGCATACTTACTTTATGTGGCTAGCTAAGGCCAGGCCAGTGTCTGTCAACTGAAAGGAATGAATGGGCCAAATGAGCCACAGCTTGGAACTATGACTATGAAAACAGGCACATTTTTCAGAATGTTTTTTGAGGAACGGGAAAATGCCCCTGTCCTTTGACAAATATTTACACACCAAGATGCCAGAGCAGTGAGCCACTGTCCAAAGCAGGGAACACTGCCAGGAACAGAGCTGAGCATGGTCTAGACCAGAGAAAGGGCCTATAGATACAGATGCAGAGGCGGTTTCAGGGAAACTGCATTAAAGGCTCTAAGGTGTGGGGGGGCCAGGACAGAACACACTGTTCTGTCTGAGCTCTGATCACTGTACATTAGACCCTGAAGAAGCAGAGGACTTAGGTTGTGGGTAATTCTATGTCCTGACGCTAACTGGTTCTTAGTTGTTTTAAATAATGAAAAGGAATCAAGGTACAATCAGATGGTATGTTTTCAAATCTATGTATTTAGTTTAACTGCCAGAAAGTAATGGTCCTAAATGATGTATATAGGTATACCTGCCCAATAAGCACAGTTTCCTTGATAGTAAACTACAGCCTCCACTGAGAGAAAATTAACCAGAATGGATAAACTTCTCAGCGAACTGGGTAGAATCTACCTTGTCTACTATGTTATTCATATGAGGTACATATTAAAATATTATAAATATACATTGTAGTTATATATTTACTGTACCCAAAGCTACAGTATACAGGCAGATAACCAGTCACTGAGAGACAAACCTTTTTGCAGGGGCTGGCAGATTACACACTCTATCAGGCGATATGGACTACAGAGAAAGGTGAAAGAACAAGGACAGTCAAGCTCACAAGGACACACAGGCATCTCTTTGCCAGTTATTAGCCAGAGTTATTACTTCTGCAATCATTAGCATCAAGTTTAAAAAGAAAGCGGGGCTTGACATGTTATATATAAGTATCCTATTTTTCAGAAGGAAAAAGTTCTAAAAACTAAACATGTTTTAAAATAGTTAGGCTTTTCCTTGCTCCTTGAAAGAGCCAACTATAAAGCTAATTGACAAGAGCAGAGAACCCTTTCCTCATTGCTTGTGTCTCAACATCATCCAGTTTTTTTAAATTTTTATTTTAATGGGGAGGAAAATAGCTTCTTCCTGTTAGCCAATAGTTAATTAGCTCTATAGAATGACCTGGGTTCCTTTCCACATTCTCTATATTCCAGCAGAGGGAGTTTGGTGGCCTCAACATTTCCTCCCATTAGCTGAGAATTTGCAATCTGATATCTAGGCTGAGTTTAGATACAAGTTTCTCTCCTCAAGTGAAAAAAAATTGCCATAGTTCAGCCAAGATACAATCATACTCAAAATAACACACACAAAGAATCCTACAAGTCATCCCACAGAGGAGGGCTAAGGATGAAGGGAAAAGAAATGAGAAGGGATCATAGTGTTCAAGATGAAAGAGAAGCAGCAATACCACCACGTTTGCCTGTGTTTCATAAAAACAAAAGTCCCTCCCTTCTTCACTTGAAGAACTGTGCATGACACACAAGAGCCTATTAGTCCAGCAGGTCTTAAATCCCCTTTGAAAAAAGGGGCGAAAGTACACCAGTTTTGTGTCTTACTGTTTGTCTTGACATTAGAGCACATCTGAAAACTACTTGCCACCCTTTCTGGTGCACACTTGTCTGCTGGCGCCTAAGGGACCGTCTCCCCACTGTCTGAAGAGACTTGGTTGGGAATGTCTGCCTTTCTGTGCAGCCTTGTTTGATGATAGGAAAACTGTTTACAATGTCTTTGTTCCTTTTATATTCTGTTTGATGAGTTGCCAGCCTAACACCAAAAGAAGCTTCTCTTTAAAGGAAAATTCTACAGTCTTTCCTTTTTGAAAGGAAACACTATATGAGTGTTTTGCCTGAATATATGTCTATGTACCACTTGTATGTGGATCCCCTGGAATTACAGTTAGAGATGGTTGTCAATTGGGGACTGGGAAGTGAATTTGGGTCTTCTGCAAGAGCTTCCCACTGAGAAAAATCCTAGTGTGTTTTCAAATGAAGCCTCTGCAAAGATAAGCATTTTTCCCCTCTGCATGTTGACAGGATGACATGAAAGATCACTGGTATTTGTATCTTTTTTTTTTTCTTGCTCAACAAACTAGACAAATCTAGAAGTAAAATATTGGCTAGCAGTAAGTCATGATGTTTAACTCTTCCACAGTTACTCTGAACCCCATCACTTGGCTTAGAAAGAAATGGGCACAATAATACTCCTGAGCAGACACGGAGACAAAAAGGTAACAAAATAGCTGCACTTGATTATTAATAGTTCAGAGACCATCTAGTCAAGATCTGTAGTAATATAGAAAATACAGCTTCCCTACTGTATATGATTTTGTCTCCTCATGTGTACATTCAAGAACAAATGATCAGAATTACTGCTAAAGTTTTAAAGGACAGGCAGGCAACACCTACATTTATGGAGAGTAAAAAGGACATGCAGGCAACACCTACATTTATGGAGAATTACTACTTTCCAAATGACCATGCATAAGATCTTGCTTTATCAAGGTGGTTTGGGGAACATTCCAGAGGTCAGCCCTTAAGAATGGGGAAGAAGATGTGTGCAATCCTAGAAACAATAGTTACTCTGGTGGCTTCATTCTCATGGATGCATCACTTCTGGCAGATCTATCATATTATATTCAATTATCTAATTATCTTCATCCTTAGTTTTTTCTCATTTTTACATAGGTTATTTCTTCCCTATAAAAAACCTTATTCTCAGGGTTGTTTTGTGGACTGTTTCCTCTTTACTGAGCATTACTAGGCTTTACCTATTTCCAGGAGAGAATTATCAACTCTGACCCCTGTCCCCTGCCCCTTCTATTATGTGTATGTGTGTGCATGAGCACGCTGAGGCTAAAACCCAGGGCCTTGTGCACGGTAGGCAGGAGCTCTACCACTGAGTAAATATTATGCCCACACTTTGACTAAATAGTGTGTTCTAAAAGTTAGAATTCTTGGCTAAAAAGCATGAGCTCCAGCTCTAGATCTCAATTTTGTCATAAAAATCCATTGCTGGGTGGTGGTGGCACACACCTTTAATCCCAGCATTCGGGAGGTAGAGGCAGGTGAATCTCTGTGAGTTTGAGACCAGCCTGATCTACAGAGCTGTGTAACAGCTTTTGTGCTTTCCCACAACCAATCAAATAGAAATACCATCACTCTATATAAGGCCATTGCAATGTTGAAAAGCTGAAAGGCATCTATCTTCAAAGATGAGGCTTACAAATGACAGCCCACTTGGTTAGCTATGGCCTCAGTGTACTTATAGTCTGCTTTATAGACTCCCCTTGGTTTCTCCCTCATCTCACATTTGAGAATTTCCCCATGACCTTTCCTTCCCAGATGAAGTTACAAATACCACATTCTAATATTTCAATATTATTTTACTTTGAAAACAGCCAATAATAATTAGTATGAGTTTACAAAGAAAACTCCTGTCCCCCAAAGGGACAGATATATCTTCTTGCTAGTTTCCAGTTTGCCCACGTAAATTAGTTGCTAGCAATGACTTGGAAACTAGGCTCTTGGAGAACAAATGAAAGTAAGAAATGTGCCAGGCATGCTGCTTCTTCACACCACACCAAGTCCCTGCCTGTTCCATCAGCTACCAAGGGAGAGAGGAGGGCTGGAACCTGTGGAGCAAGTACAGCTTTGTCTCCTCCTCTCAGTGTTGCTTTACATGTTTTGAGTGTTATTAAAATGTATATGCATTTAGGTTTTCTTAATGAACTGACGTCTATTACTGTGAAATTACAAGTGCTGCCATCAGTCCTCACTCTAAAATAAACTTTGTACTTTAATAGTCACTTTTATTTCCTTACATTCAGAATAGGAGCTTGCATGGTTGGTGTGTAGATCACTACAGAGCACATGGCTAACACACAGGTCCTGGGTTCCATTCCTAGGAGTGCGGGGATGCTTCTATAGACAATCTCTACTGAAAACGAATGCTTTTTTATTTTTTTTTCACTCATACTTGTTCAATATGACAGCAAC